CGAGCCCCACATTGGGTTCCCTGCTCAGTGGGGAGTCTGCTTTCCCTTCTCCCCTCTCCCTGCTCATGCTCTCCCCCCTCTCAAATAAATAAATAAAATCTTTAAAAAATAAAATAAAATGAGAATATGGGACTCGAGCCATAAGCCTCCAGCTGGGCCAGCTTCCCAGGTGGGCGACCAAAAAGGCAGACCCCTGTGGGAATAACGTGGGTCCCATTCCAAAATCCTGCTGGACCCTCAGAAATTCTCTTTGATTCAATCGATCTTCATCTGTTTATTTTGAAGTTGAAGACTTTGAGCGCCTCCTTACTTTGTAGCATGAAAAGACATTCCAGGATCATCTTGTTCTACTCCTGCCCCAGCCCTAGGACCATGCAGTTCTCTATGGAGTCCTGCTTCCTCTTAGTGCAGAACAGAATTTAGAAACCAAGATCTGGTTGCTAGGTGTGCTCACGGCTACCAGGGTGTCCCTGCTCCCAGGCCCTCTCAGTGGACAAGGATAGGAAATGTGCATGCATGTATGAATATTTACAACTGTATTTATTTCTACATCTGTATCGAAAACCATGCATTCGTATCAATCCTTGCAGTTCTAAGTCAGTTTCATAGGATTCATTCTAGCATTCCCTCCTTCCATATTTGGACCTCTTTTCTCTAATACTAATAGGAAGAAACATGGATCCTGTGATTCTCAGCGTATTTACTTATTTTCCCAATCCCCTGTGTGCAGCACATCCCCTGAACCCCAGGCCCTGGCTCTCAGACACCCCCCTTAGTTGGACACCAAGCCCCGCAGGGCTGTCACCCAACCCTGTTACAAGGGCCGCCACAGGAGGGCTCCATCCCCATGTATGTCCTACACCTTCAGTTCCATTTGACTTGATGACACTTAGGGAGGACTTTTGAATCTACGTTCACAAATGGTATCAGATATGTTTTTTTTTTTTAAGATTTTATTTATTTATTTGACAGAGAGAAAGAGAGACAGCCAGAGAGGGAACACAAGCAGGGGGAGTGGGAGAGGGAGAAGCAGGCTTCCCGCTGAGCAGGGAGCCCGATGCGGGGCTCGATCTCAGGATTCCAGGACCATGACCTGAGCCCAAGGCAGACGCCTAATGACTGAGCCACCCAGGCGCCGCCGGACATAGTTTTTATTTCTTAAAGTTTCTTCTCTGGTATTGTACCAACATAAATCTAGCCTCAGAAAATGAGATGGGCAGTTTTCTTTCTTTTTTTTTTTTTTTAATCCTCTGGAGCCATATAGAGATTATCTAGGTTTTGGTAGAACTTTCCTGCAAAATCATCGGGGTCCTGTGGAGTGTCCCCTGGCTGAGTGTTAGACTGCTGGGACAGGTGGAGACAGTAATGTGATGGATACAGGTCTCTCGAGGTCCCTTTAGGGGATGTTGGAAGGTTCTAGTTTCCCAGAAAATTGTCAGTTTCCTCTAAATTTTCAAACATGTGGGTATAAGTCTGCCTCAAAGTGTTCTCTTATTTTCTAACTGGTACATTTGCTCCTCTTTTCATTCCTAAAATGTATATTTTCTTTTTAACCTGTAAGTACTATCATCAGCGTTTTATCTACTTGTTTTTATTTTTGAAGAGCCAACTTTTGGTTTGTTGGTACTCTGAATTGATTCTAATGAATTCTTATTATTTTTTCATTCTCTTCCTCCCATTTTCTTTGGGTTTACCCCAATGTTCTTCCTCTAATTTGTTGAATTAGACATTTAACTCATTTACGTGCATGTGGGGCCGTCTCCTTCCCTGTAGGTATCACCTTAGCTGCATCCACAGGGCTAACGAGGTCAGGTTTTCATTGTCATGCTGTCGTAATATTTTCTCATTGACATTATGATTTCCTATGCAACTCAGGAATGTCTTCAAACTTCCACAAACATATAGGATGTTCTTGGTTTTCTTTCTATAGTGTTACATAGAAACATCATAAAATTCGAAACCCAAGGACAAAGCGAGAGATTTGTTCCTAGCAAAACTCAGGTGCAATTTTTTTTTTTCTCATTTACACCAAAGACAATATTTTACATGCACGCTGTGTGTGCCTTTCAATATGACTTACAGTTTGTGGGGTGGCACTAGCTGACCTGTCCGTGTCTGTGCCTGGACCCCACGAACTTGAACTGGCCAGCAGAGATGGGCGTGGTCCGAGACAGACATAAGGCACTGGGGCAGAGAAAAGATGCCCCCCAGTTCCAAGGAACCTGGAGACGATGGGAACTGGAAAGAAAACACCCAAATTCATCATTCATCATGCGTTCATCCACTGAAAACCAGTCTGCTGTCTGTGGAAGGCCTCCTGAGGTCACTGATGTCCCTGCTTAGTCTGAAGTCCTTCTGAGGAAACACACAATGGCAGTCAAATGGGGACTTTCCCGTTGAGGACACTGTGCAGGGATGACGCGAGGCTCAGGCTGGGACGCTGGGTAGCCCAGCAGCCAAATGCTCGGGGAAGGTCAATGTGTGGTTTGGGACCTACCTCTGTTGGGGGTTCAGGGGCAAGGAGCCTCAGATGGCATCTGCTCCCCGGCCCCACCCACTCCTCAGGCTCTCCCAGGACTCTAGGGGCAGATTTTTTTCATTAAATGATGAGGTTGCCATCATCCCTCAGGGAGCTGGGGTATTTCCAGCAAGGGATGCCCCTAGTCCTTTTCCCAGGGGTATACTGTTAAGGGGGGGTAGGAAGAAATCCCCAGAGACGTTCACACTTTGTACCTTCCTAACTTTGGAGGCTTCATTCATCTGGGTCCTCAAGCAGGTGGGGGCTGGGTGGATGAGAGAAGGCAATGTGGTTCTTTTTTTTTTTTAAGATTTTATTTATTTATTTGACAGAGAGAGTGAGAGAGAGCACAAGCAGGTGTGGGGCAGAAGCTTTACTCCATGCCACAAATTCTGCGCACCTGGAGCCCGGAGCCCCGCTCAGGTTCTGTGGATGCCTCCTCATCAACACAAAGAAGGACTCGCCTTCCAAAGAGCCATGACCTCCATGGTCTCTGTCCTTACTGGCCTGGTTCCTGAACCCTGTTCCGAGCGCCCACGTGGGAACTTCTGCCCTCGCATCCTCGCTGAAGCCAGGGGAGCAGTGAGTCCACATTCTGCAGTGCCAGCCTGGAAGAGTCTGGATTTCTACTTTGCTCTCTCCCTGAGTCTGTTTCTTCCTCTTTAAATAAGGTCACCCTAACGATGCCCAAATCCCTTCCAGGACAAAACATCCAAACCACCTAGGCATCTTATTTTCTTGTTTTTAGGTAACACTGAAGACAGATTTCGCCCTCAGAAAAACTATACCCATCAACCACCATCAGGAGCGTTTCCAAAAGCCTATGATAACGAAAATCCTATTTCTCATTGGGTCTTTACTGGAGAGATGAGAGTGTTGCTGTCCCCACGATTCAGATGAGAAACTTGAATTCTTCAGCCATACGGCTGGGAGTGGACTTGAACATAGACCTTTAGACCCAAGATTCTGGTGGGATCACAGACTGGGGTCCAAAGTCTTGTCTCCACCACTGCAGGGGCCCTGGAGTGTAGGACGGGCAGTGTGTGGTCCCTAAGTTTGACCACAAGATGGCAAGCTGACTCAAGGCATTGCCGTTGACAGGGGGGAGGGGGGAGGGGGAAGTCATCTGGTGTCACAAAAATGTGTTGACACTCTCAGCTAATAATTGACTTTCTTTCTCCAGTCCTGGATCTGGCTTTCCAGAGATTTGCAATGATATTTTTAAAAACAAAAACAATCAAAAAGAAATCAGATCAGGTGGTATATTTCATTTCCAAAGGGCTTCTCCCTGTACTGAGAATAAAATCCATAAGGTCGGGTGAGACCTGGGCCCTGCTCCCTCCTCCTACACTTTCTGACCACTACAAGAGAGATACAGGCGCTCTGGGAACCCTGCCGTCCCGTCACGGGACGCCCGCGATTCAGGGAGCAGAAGCTACACCTGGTCTGTGTGTGCTGCTGAAAGTAACCACCGGAGGCCAAGAACAGAAAACCGAGTTCCTTCATTCATTCCCTTGTTCCACTCATTCATTCATTCATTCATCAGTATTGATCCAGCCCCTTCTAGTTGCCAAACACTTTCAATACAACCAGTGGTGACGCCACAGGGTGTCAAAACTATGCTCTAGCCAGCCTCCTCTGTCATTAGAGTCTCAAGCCATCCCAAATATCAATAATGGCAGTAATAATACAAATGAAATGAAATTAGCCAAAGATGTGGTTCAGGGGCGCCCGGGTGGCTCAGTCGGTTAAGCATCTGCCTTCGGCTCAGGTCATGATCCTGGAGTCCCGGGATCGAGTCCCGCATCGGGCTCCCTGCTCCTTGGGAGCCTGCTTCTCCCTCTCCCACTCCCCCTGCTTGTGTTCCCCCTCTCGCTGTGTGTCTCTCTCTCAAATAAATAAATAAAATCTTAAAAAAAGAAAAAGATGTGTTTCAAATTCCAGAAGATGGGGTTGTCGTGATTCAACATGTGAAAGGCAGAGACCAATTCTATAACATGTCATTGGAATAAAAGGACCACCGCATCAGGAAGAAAGAAAAACCTGGTTTCTATAAAACCCAGTTACGTATCTTTTTATGTGAGCAAAGAATGATTTCATTAATCCAGTCTCTACTTTGATTATTTCGTTTTTTGATGATCAGTCCCAATCAGCTGATCACATGATTCACATATCAGGTAGAGATTTGTGTTTTTCTAGTGCTGTGGAATTATTTATATTTAGATACTAACCTTATCCCATTTCCGCTAAGCCCTAACAAAGAAGTCAAGTAAAAATGCTGTGCTTATTATGCAAACACAGCTTTCCTGATCTCTCCTCGGGGAAGAGAGGAGATTATGACTCAGTTTTTTGGTCTGATTGCATTTCGTTTTTTGGGGAGGATGAGTCAGGGAAGGCTTCCTGGAGGAAATGACATCTAAGCCAAGCCAAGGACAGAGGGATAAATAGGAGCTAACCAGAAGTGGGGACTAGGGTAGGGTAGGGACGGGTACCCAAGAAAGGAGTAGCAAGTACAAAGGCCTGGAGGGGAAGGAACATTCCGGGATCTGAGCACCTGTCCCTGACTCTGGGCCCTGGAGGGCACCCTGGCAGGGGAGGTGAGAGAGGCAGGGAGGGGCCAGGCTCTGAAGGGTTGTGTCACGGCTTCAGGAGGTCAGACTTCGCTTTAACCGCAATGAGCAGTAAGGAGCATGAAATGGTTTTAAGCAAGAGACTGACTGATTCCATTTTCATTCTAGAAAGATCTCAGCAGCAGCAGGGCAATCATCAGGGTAGGATCCCTACAGGTAGGAGTTGCTGGTGGATAGGGTAGCGAAGTGGGGGTGAAGGGCCTGGGACCTGAGGGACATCTGTGGAGCAGAACGGCAGCTGGAGGTGGACTGGGAGGGCTTCAGGGAGGTGGGGGAGTGAAGGAACCAGGAATGACAGCTCGGGCCTCTGGGCTGCAGGGCTGTGCAGTCCTGCCAGTGAGGAAGCCTGGGGAGGAAGAGCTTCGTTCTGGACACGTGGGATGTGGAATGTCCGAGAGACGTTCACTTGGGGGTGTCAGTGGGGGAGTGATAGGCGTGGGAGCCCCCAGCCCCTAGATCATGGGGAAAGCCCCAAGAGTCCAGCTCTGCAAGACCCAACACTGAGAGAGCAGGTGGGGAAGGAGGCAGGGAGGAGGCCGGGGAGGAGGCAGGAAAACCTTGAACATGTCAGAAGGAAAGCAGGGAGGGAGTTTCTGGAAGAAGACAGCGGTCAGCTGGGTCAAGTGCAGCTAAGAAGCCCCATGACAGAGGACTTGAAGGTGTCCATTGTGTAGTGGAACCTGGGCGCCGGTGGCCCCGGCAGGAGCGAGTTCGGGGGGCCGAAGTGGGCGGGAGAATGGGTGGGGGTTGCGGGAACAGAGGCAATGGGCGCAGAGAAGCTCGTTTCTGAAGGAAGGCAGGGAAGGGAGGATGGACGCTGGCGGGGCACCCAGAGCTCAGAGGGTTTCTGCTCTTGCTAATATGGGAGCAGCTCTGTGGCTGATGAGATACAAGGCAGAGGGAGGGCGGGATGAGTCAGGAGGCGGAGAGAGAATTAAGACTTGCTGTCCTGGAGGAGGTGGAGAGGGCGGGAGCTGGGACACCGTGGACCAGCTTATGCAAGAGCAGGTTATGCGCTTCCTCCATAAAGCAGGAGCGACAAGGGAAGGGAACACGAAAGGAGGAGTGGGCTGGGATGACCACAGGACCACACCCTTGGGCGCTGGAAGTGGGGATTCAATCTCGGGGCGTGATGTGGCTTGTCTCCGAGGTCTGAAGCAACCGGCCCCAGAGGTGAGTCGACTTGGCCCTCGAGTGGAGACCCAACCCAATGCAAATGCCCTGGCTCACCCACCCCGACGTTGGCAGCCCTGGGCTCCCTTCCCTGCGAAGCTGCACGCAGGGGGAGCTCCACCCAGCCAGAGGCAATCCAAACAAGGCCTGGAGAAAGTAGTTACCAAGGGAATTCTTTAGCAATCCTTCAGGTCTTGTCTCTGCAGAGAGGAGATGAGTAATGGACAAAGGGCCTTAATCCTTCCTTAATCCCGCACTGTGCCAACTCGGCTCGCACTGCCCGCCTGCTTAGTGACGTACTTGGGAAGAGGCATCAACTGACTTAGGGTATTTCAAGAAAAAGAAAGGGAAGGCAGAAGGGAGGTGGGAAGGACAAAGAGGAGCAAAGAGGAAGATTCCTGAATGTCAGGGGGCTTGAAGGAGAGAAGCTCCCGGAGTGACTTAGCCCATCCTGCCAAACACGGCCAGGCTCTGCGCGGGCCGGGACTCTGGCAGGTGTGCTCTGGCATGGAGCCCCATCCCCAGCCGGGCTCGGGCGGCAGGGGCAGCAGTAAGGGAATCTTGGCCCAAGGCTGTAAGTCAGTAACAGCCATCACAAGTCCCCTCCGTGGAGCACCAAAGTCAGGGGCTCTGTGGGCGTCCCCATAACTCGGGAAGGACCCTTGTTCTGCAGGTGGGGAACCCAGGCTCAAAGAAGGTAAGCGCCCGGGCTTGCCCAGCCAGTGAGCCCAAATCCAGAATCTGAGCCTCTCTGAAGGCAAGGGGGCTGGAGGGCATCGTGGTTTCGTGGTCATAGGAATCCTGTTAGCTGCGTGATCTGAGAGGTTGCAAGGACCGACCTTACGGGGTGGTTCTGAGGTTTAAACGAGTTCATATTTACAGAGTACACGGGAAACCTAAGTGCTATATTGTGTTTGGCCATTGCACTTGGGGGTCATCTCCCACCTCCCCATCTGATTAGCACCCCAAATAAGCACATCATCTACGTTCCTAAGATGCCACTTCAAGACAAACTTGTGCATTTCAGGCAGTCCCCACTCCTAACCCTCCTTCTCTTACCTGCAGAATTTCAGGAACTGTCAGTCTGCTTTTCCCTTTTTGGCTGTCATGGCTGTTTTGGTTTATTTTAAGTGATCTTTACACACAACATGGGGCTTGAACTCACGACCCTCAGATCAAGAGTTGCCTGCTCTCAAGATGTCCATCGACAGATGAATGGATAAAGAAGATGTGGTATATATATACAATGGAATATTATGCAGCCATCAAAAGGAATGAGATCTTGCCATTTGCAACGACGTGGATGGAACTGGAGGGTGTTATGCTGAGCGAAATAAGTCAAACAGAGAAAGACATGTATCATATGACCTCACTGATATGAGGAATTCTTAATCTCAGGAAACAAACTGAGGGTTGCTGGAGTGGGGGGTGGGTGGGAGGGATGGGGTGGCTGGGTGATAGACATTGGGGAGGGTATGTGCTCTGGTAAGCACTGCGAATTGTGCAAGACTGTTGAATCTCAGATCTGTACTTCTGAAACAAATAATGCAATATATGTTAAGAAAAAAAAAGAAGAAGAAGAAGAAGAAGCTAGCAGGAGAGGAAGAATGAAGCGGGGGAAATCGGAGGGGTAGACGAACCATGAGAGACGATGGACTCTGAAAAACAAACTGAGGGTTCTAGAGGGGAGGGGGGTGGGAGGATGGGTTAGCCTGGTGATGGGTATTGAGGAGGGCACATTCTGCATGGAGCACTGGGTGTTATGCACAAACAATGAATCATGGAACACTACATCTAAAACTAATGATGTAATGTGTGGGGATTAACATAAGAATAAAAAATTAAAAAAAAAAAAAAAAGAGTTGCCTGCTCTACCAATGGAGCCAGCCAGGCAGCCCTGTTATGGTTATTTTAATTAAAATCATTTTGGGGGCGCCTGGGTGGCTCAGTCGGTTGAGCGACTGCCTTCGGCTCGGGTCATGATCCCGGAGTCCCGGGATCGAGTCCCGCATCGGGCTCCCTGCTCGGCGGGGAGTCTGCTTCTCCCTCTGACCCTCCTCCCTCTCATGTGCTCTCTCTCTCTCATTCTCTCTGTCAAATAATGAATAAAATCTTTAAAAATAAATAAATAAATAAATAAAGTCATTTTGGATCGGGCGCCTGGGTGGCTCAGTCGTTAAGCGTCTGCCTTCGGCTCAGGTCATGATCCCGGAGTCCTGGGATCGAGTCCCACATCCGGCTCCCTGCTCCGCAGGAAGCCTGCTTCTCCCTCTCCCACTCCCCCTGCTTGTGTTCCTGCTCTCGCTATCTCTCTCTCTGTCAAATAAATAAAATCTTTAAAAAAAAAATCATTTTGGATCAAAGCAAGAGCTTCTGAAGATACTCTTTGAACAAATCTTAACTTCCCAAAAAGGAAAAAAAAAAACAAAAACAAAACATAAAAGGTATTAGCTACATTTCCAGGTCACCACTCTGGCAATTTCACCAAACAACCAAAACTGTCTTTTTAGCCACACGTGAATAAAATGAGAACAAAGGTGAGTGAAATTTGCCTCAATCAGTATAATTTCATGCTCTTTGCTCTATGGGTGTCCATCCCTACTTCCGGTCCTTATTGCAAGACTCTTTGAAAGGTTTTTTTCTTATATTAAAATAAAGGCTTTAATATATTTAAAGGAGAGAAATGAAGAGCATCCAAAAGTAAAAAACCATGTTTCTTTCCTACTACTACACTCTACACACACCAGATATATTGGGGGTTGGGGGCTCCCACATCAACCAATTCTCCAATGCTCTGGACATCAGTTGGGTGCCCACGATTCAATTCTATTGTGACGATAACTCCCAGAGTTAGAGCAGACCCCACGGGTTCAGGGCTCAACCCTGTAAGTCTGTCCCCCACTTCAGATGCTGGACATCCAGTACCTCTGACCCACTGGCTATAAATTAGGGTTCCCATGACCTGCCCTTCAGGTTCAATCATTTGCCAGAAGGTTCACAGAACTCAGGGAAAGAGTGTAGTTACTAGATTACTAGTTTCTTATGAAGGATACAATCTGGGGCAGCCGGATAGCAAAGATGTCTAGGGCAGAGTACGGGGAAAAGGCGCAGAGCCTCCGTGTCCTCTCCACACCTGCCACCTCCTTCCCACACCTGCCACACTTCCAACACCTCCACAGTTTCACCAACCTGGAAGCTTCCCAAAACCTGCTGTTCAGGACTTTTTCTAGAAGTGCCATTCCTTAGGCAGGACTGAGTAAATCACTGGCCTTTAGTGTGATTACCTCCAGCCCCTCTCTGCTCCCTAAGGGTCAGGGGCTGGGGCTGAAAGCATGGACCCTCCAAGCACAAAGTTGGTTACCCTGGCAGCCAGCATCCCTCCGGAGGCGACCCAGGAGCTCCCCACCTTCTCCAGTCATCTCATTTCCATACAAAAAGACACATCACTTTGGAGATGCCAAGGATTTCGGGAGCTCCGTGCCTGGAAATAGGGACAGAGACCAAATATATATTTATTATGTCACAGCGTCTGGAAATGAGTAAGGAGGTACTTGGAAGAGTCATTTATGTACCCCAAACTCTCTAGGCAAGTGGGCATATTGGAGTTCCCTCTGGTTGTCTGCTCCACAGGACCCATCAGAGCCCTTCCCTGGGATTTTTCGACTGGAAATCTTATAGTTCCTCCCTCCTGTTCTTCAGGGAGGAAGACATAAGTGTGATTCGGTCAAATTCTAAGACACTGAGTATGATTTACTGAACGGCCAGGTCATTGTCACTTAAGATGACAGCTCTGACCCCAGCAGTTCTAACTTTCAAGTTCTCATCCTTGCTGTGTCATCTCTTGGCAGGACTCAGTCCTGGCGGCCACGTGAAAGCTGACTGGGTGGTTGGCAAGAGAGGAAAGGCTACCCTGTCCTTCATCTTCACCGCTAAGCCAAGAGATACAGCTCTATTTATTAACAGCCTGCCTTCGAGTTTTGCCAAAAGCCCAGTTAATACAATGAAGCCGACTTTTAATGTGCCTTTGCCTCTTGACCTAAAATAAGATTCAGGCATTCCTGGAATGGCGTGCCCCGCGTGGCCCTTACCACTTCCTGTGGGGAAACACTTCTGCGTGGATCCATCCTATGATTCAGCATAGCCGTCAATCACAACATCCCAGCTCAGTATCTCGTGATCTTGGAGAAGAAGAGCTCAAGATCCAGATCTGGCCAATCATAGTGCCCCGTTTCACGAGCCACAGTGAATGGCCCAGGAGTGGGACATGTGACCCCAAGCCAAGCCAATCAGATTCCTTGAAATGGGAGGAAAAGGAGATTTGACTTTGAGGTAGAGACACCAAAAGGATGAGAGATGGGATCTTAATGCTCCATACTGATTGTCCCCAGCCCTGGTTATATATAAAAATCACCTCGGGCTGCCTGGGTGGCTCAGTCGGTTAAGTGTCTGACTCTCGGTTTCGGCTCAGGTCATGATCTCAGCATCATGGGATCAAGCCCCGCATCTGGCTCCACGCTATGCTCGGAGTCTGCTTAAGATTTTCTCTCTCTCTTTCCCTCTGCCCCTTCCCCCCCAAAATAAATAAATAAATCTTTAAAAAAATAACCATCTCACAGGCTTGTTAAAAAACACAGGTTCCTAGGTGAGAACAACTGAATCAATGTCAGGTGAGGAAGGATGTGGGAATCCAGATGTTTTCATCAGCAACGTGGGTGATTTTTGTGTAGCCTGCCTGGGTTGACCTCAGAATTCGGAAGCACTGATTTATGACACAAAGAAGCCTAGATATGAGTGAAGAATTCCATCAGCTGCCAGGATATTTTTCCTATAAGGTACTACATATCCATATATTCCAGGATGCGCTAGATTTCCTCCTTGTTCTCATTTCATTGAACAATAATTCTAAAATGTTTGCATGTGGGTTGATTTATGTATATATTTCTCATGTACCCTTTGCATCGACCAAAAACAATACGTCAGCTGTTTTTAATTACTCTTGGGAGACTGTGTCTTTGAGTGTCACATTGCATGGAGAACGGATGATGGGGGGGCCCATCCTTTCATTCAGGTTTTAGATATATATTTCTCTTACAGCCAGCGAAAGTGAAATGAGCCTCGCTGAAATGAGCCTCGCTGACAACCAGACACAACGTTTCCAACAGAACATAAACAGTGCTGGGAGTAGGTTGCAGATGAGGCTCCACATGGTGCCCATAAAAATAATGCACCAGCCCTCTCTCTTACATGAGTGACTGACAACTCCTCAGTGTCTGTTCCAACCCTGCTTTACTCCAGCTGGATCCTGCTTCCATTGTTAAGATAGTTGCCAAATGGCCCATCTTTTCAACAGCGTCCAGAACAGGCCCATTACTGGCCCGTTTCTCGCATCCCTCCCTAGGATCATCCAGCACAATCCAGCTTCCTCCATCCTCCCCTTCCCAAGTATCTCCCAAAGGCTCCTCTCCCCTGGGACCTTGCAGCAGCAGCTAAATCAGCCCATCTTCGTTTGACTGTAGGAATGTTCCTAATAGGATCCGGTCGGTGGGCTGCTAGACCATGACGCGTGCATGCGGGAACACGCTGGCTACTCGGCTCTGATGCTTTTCACTACAGAAATGGAATCATGGCTCAAGCCGGCTTAAAATGTGGGAGCATCTTCTGTCCCATAAGAAGAGCAGAAGCAGAGCAAGCCTGAGGCCCTCACTGGGCTTCGGCTCCATTTCCAACTCTCCCGGCTCAATTCTCTTCCCCACGTCTGCTTCATTGTCCCATTGTGGTTCCAGGCATCCTGTCTCGTCCCCAGGAAGAAGAGCAGACGGGCATCTCCTTCTGTGCATCTCACATAGGAGGAAGGAAACCTTCCCCAGGAGCCCCTCGGCAGACATCTGCCTTCTTACGTCATGGCCATAATTACATCCCAGACTTGGGTCCAAGACACCTGCCGGGAGGGAAATGGCCACCATGACAAATTAATCTCAAAACACTTGTCCAGAGTGGATGCCAGCACAAAATCAGGGACCTCTTAGGAAAAACGAAGAGAACGGATGTTGAATAGACTACCCATAGGGCCCGTTACCGTCCTACAGTGTTGTTTGTGTGCACCTCCTTGAGTGTGGGCTGGTGGCGAAGGTTGGCTTGTCTGCCCAGTCTAAGATTCCCCAATTCTCTAATGACCGTGTATCATTTCATAATAACAAAAAATAGAATTTCAAATAAATTTCAAAGTCCAACATGTTTTTTTAAAGCAATGCTATCAATTTGAAAAATGAGCAAAATGATTGCCTCTTATTTCTTTCTGGCTTTTCCAGTTTCTCTGTAAGTTGGTTGGGAGGTGATGTATACATTTGGGGTGTCAGACACAAAAAACCCAGGGGTATAACCAGGCTTGAGAGTTTTGGTTTTT